TATAATACAACTGTTTACAACTAAAACATCAGATCCACTACTGCCATCATTATACGTGGAAAAGGCTACCACATTCAACCCCCATGTCACCCCCATCTCCACCTAATTCATCATTTAGTAGCCCTAACTATCCAAATACCAAACACTCATTTCTTAGATTCTAACCCGCCATTTGTTACCCTCTTTATAACTACTGGTCCCCCATCATTGCCACACTTATATAATAGGCCCCTGTCGCATATAGACCTTGAATTAACACCTGCAATTTACAAGCACATTTCCCGTGTCATTCACCCATTTGACATCTAGATTGTACCACTATCACTAATGGCCTGCAACACTTATCCTTCAATTGTGTAATAAACATTTTCACCTTATGCAACAACCAGAATACTCTGTACGTTTCTAGTGGACAACAGACTTTGCTTAAGATGAAAGTAGACAAAAATGACCGTGTCATAACTATTTTCACCTTATGCAACAACCAGAACACTCTGTACGTTTCTAGTGGACGACAGACTTTGCTTAACACGAAAGTAGTCAAAAATGACCATTTTGACAGAAGGACAGCTAAACCATCATTATTTCTGCAGGAGACTGATTGAGTAGGCGGTTACAACTATTATATTTCCATTAAATTTCCATGCCAGCCTAGATTAGTGCTGAAACTTAGCCCTTGATTGGCCCCCATTTCTTAAAACTCATTTTTCTTAAAACTTATTTTCAACCACACATTTCAACAACTTTTATTAAAATCTACTAAAAATCTAATTTTTATCCAAACCAAACAAGGGCTTAGTAACATAATGATTACAAGGTAATATGTTATTGTGGCCTATTATCTACAAATTTAATATAAAATTTTTACTCGCTTCTCCTAGCACATTCACTGAGCTGCCAAAAATTTACAAGAAGATTTATCATTTAACATCATTATAAATTCACTTTTCTTTCTTTCTTTTATTATTTATTTATTTTTATTTTTTTGAGTAAGCAGAGGCAGATAAATATGGTCGATGTGTCACATCCATGCCTAAAGCATCAATTCACATTAAAGACTCTTGACGTATTATTTTGCAGTTGGACATTGCTTTCAAATGGTTGCAAGGTTATATCAGTCATGAGGCAACTGATAACGAGGATGTCGAACAGATTATGAAGGTTGAATCAAACAGTTTTCTAGGTTAGGTATACATCAATGTCATATTTGAATCTATGAACCTAAAAATCCAGACTCCGGAGAAACCAAGATATAACAAGGTTTTTTGAACATTGAGAATAGGGCCAACAATGAACCAAAAAACGGTGTGAATAACACAGTACAGCTAGATCCCCAAGATAGAGAAAAGTTTTGCTCAAGGCTAAGCAAGCTCAAGTCCTTGTACTCATCGGAGTCTATGGTGTCTCTAGTTATCACCAGTAAACTGTCTGTGAACAGAACATGATCATGCCAATCCACTAGGAGTTCAGGTTAGGTCTCAGTTATGAACACCAATATATTTTCTGAAATATGTATCAGCAGAGCAGGATTATGGTGATACCCAGGATTAATTCCATGCATTGGATAAGACACGTAGTATCAGTTTTTTTTTTGTCTCTCACATTACTAGAGATTTGATCAAGTATAGTTTTGATCCATATATCTTTTGTTTTTTCCTATTTAGCATTTAAACCTTTAGTTAAATTAGGTTGCCTCAAAACTCTATCATTACCTATGGTGAGGCCAAAATGTGCTGAAAAATTATAGGGAGTTTAGTAATTTAAGCGTGTGAGTATTTTCTAGTTTCAGTTCCATAATATGGATTTTAATTCTCTAGACAAATCATACCATGAGAGTTAAAGAAGAAACAAACATCAAAACACCATACTCATCTCACCTCAATATGTTTAGTCACTCAGAGGACTATATACGCAAATTAGGTAATCTTGAGATTTCCTAACCTTTCACTTTTAAGCTCAAACGCACAAATACTTTAGGCTCCGTTTGATAGCCTTAGTTTTCCATGGAAAAGGAAAACATTTTCCTTTTCCACCCTTAAAAAGCTGTTTGATAGGTAAATTTTTCCATTAAAAACGTTTTCCACCTTTTTCAAGGTACAATCATTTGATGCNCAAATGAATGGTATTCGGTATGGTAAATTTTTTTTCAATTTTTTTTTCGGCCATTTGGAACAAATTCTAGACCCAATAGTAGAAAAAATTATCACTTTAATGAACAATTTTTATAAAAAAACGAAGCCAAACGGATACCAAACTTTCAACATTTTTCAAGTAGAAAATTATACTAATCAAACACAATTAATTACAATTCTCAGGAAAACATTTTCTAGGAAAATCATTTCCCTGTAAAACATTTTCTTTCCACCAATTTTCCACCTTTGCAATCAAACGGACCCTTAGCAAAATCCAGTTGACTGTTGCATGAAAGGTCAGGTTCGTCAAAGTTAATCGAGTGGAAAAGCCATCGAGGTAAAATCAACAAATGTCTCATGGGTACTACAGAAGCATTGGTGTATAGCAACTGCATAAATCTATTAGTAGAAAGGATTTAAGGTAATCAATTGACTTTGAAATTAATACGGTTGGTCCAGAAAAGAAACTAAGTGAATGAGATTTGCAGCCCTGGTCATGGTAGCCTCAAAAGTCATGATCTAAATTATATAAGTTTCATTCAGCAATGATGTTCATTGAAAAGACATGGACATCAATTAGTAACAGGAAGGTTCTTTTTCAACATAAATTTCTTGTGGAAGAATATTCCATCATCAAAACTTGTCACGAGCAAGAGAAATAAACAAGTACAACATTATTTATAGATATTAATGACATGTTCATTATGGTGACTGCGTTCAGGAGCAAACAATTAAATCGAGGGGCTAGTACAGAATTAGCCATTCAACCTTATTAAGTAATTGAGAACAGAGTTAGAAACAGAAATATAAACAAATATGAATAACCCAGGAAAAACAAAACAAACTATAGTAAAGTTTCTCATCTCTAGTACTAGGTACCACCACAGACAAGCAAATTTCCAAGTGTGGAGGAAGCATGTGTATAAAAGGATTATATTGAGAAAGATTAATATGATTTTAAGAGGCATGATCTTTGTCCACCAACCAATACATCTGATTCCTCTGCATACTGAACATTCATATGTCTATTTAGGAATGGAAAATATAATTTCAACATGAAACTTAACCATAAAAGATTGGCAACAACTAGAGACGAATTCCATCAATCAGAAGATGGGACTCCAGAATAAATGGCTTAGTGGAATAATCCAAGAGAGCAAGGCTATCTTAGTTCACAACACAAGTGTTACCTGTGGCTCTTTGGAAGTGCAAATATACCTATCAGCACATGTGGACACCTGTCATCTTACTGCCTGATTTAAAACATCCCAGGGGACCACAGAAACATTGTATTGTTTATGAAAGCAAAGGATAGCTAGCAGATAACTGTGTAAGGCAGATAACTGTGTAAGGCTATTGGATGAACTGATACAGCATATATTAGCATGCTCCAAGTATGACAAATGTTAGCATTGCGCTGCACATTAATCTCTCTCTTTACTTTTCAATATTTTGTATGTAAATGAGCACAGAAGCTAAAAACAGAAACAAGCAAGAGACAGCGTAGAAAACAATATAATGGAGATATGCTAAAATTAATCAGGTAGCAGTAAAAAGGAAATGTGTTCCCACTTCAATTTCCATCACCCTTTCCATTTTCCATTACCGATCTTTCTGGGGGGTGAAAGGAAGGGGAGGAGGTTTAGCCTGTTAGGAAATTTTGTAATAATTAAAATCCAAGAAAACAGCTAAACCAACCCCAGTTCTGAATTTATGCAACTCCCTTTGTATTCTTACCTGCACAAGGTGACATATTTGATGGAACAACAAACTGGATGTGTATCAAAAGAAAACTCGAAACATTATGGACTTGAATTAAAAGAACAATACTCAAGGCCGAGAAACAACGGTAAAATAGTAGCAACATAACTTAGAAACATCCAGGGGGTATACAAAGAAAATCCTGAAATAAACAAAAAATTGTTCATGCAAAGAGTTTTAAGACCAGAAAATGATTAAATTTATAAGTCACAGCAGAAGCTAAAAAGAAGAGTAAGGAAACTTACGGGGCCATCCAGCGATATGTCCCTGTCTCTGGTGTCATTCCTTCAGTTTGCACCTCAATACGAGCAACCCCAAAATCTGCAATCTTAATTGACTTGTCCGCAGAAATTAGAAGATTGTCGGATTTCAAATCTCTGTGAATCAAGTTTAATCCGTGCACATATTCCATCCCCCTTGCGACATCCAAGGCCTGCTTTACAGCCAATTTTAAAGGCACAGATCGGTTCTGCCTCTTTGCCAAGAACTGGCGCACAGAACCCCCCTTTGCATACTCTGTCACAATACACCAGACCATGGGTTTACGGCATGCACCAATAAAGCGAACAATGTTCGGATGCTTCAACCTTGCCAACATCATCACCTCCTGCTGAAACTGCTGCTCCATCAAGTGTGCCCTCTCTGGATCATTCTCTGGCTTCTCTAGAAGCTTAATTGCAACATCATCTCCTTTATAAGCACCCTTATAGAGCTTCCCAAATGCACCCTGAGCAAAAGCTTGCCCCATGTTAAGCTTCCTCAAGTCAATCGTCCACTCGTCATAGTTGCCAAGCCCATCTGTAGGATATTGAGGGTCCATCAAAGCTTGGGCCAGGGCATCATCGCTCAGGCCTTGGGAGACTCTCCCACGATTGACACTTGCTACAACCGAATAGTCTTTGACATGCTTGAGGCCTTGGTGACCCAGGATACGAGTGTGGGAATCATTTGAACCAACACTGCTGTTGTCCATCGACATGGCAACAGAGCCTCCACCATTGCTCATCTGTAAACTCCCATAACTATCAATGGACATGTTAGACCCCTCATTGAGCTTACGATAAAAATCTTGTGAGAAATCGTAATTGTCATGATTATTATGTAGGCCTATAATTCCCGGAAATTTTGGACCCTCCGGCATTTTCCTTTAGCAAAAAAGTTTTCACAGCACAAATTCTTCAAAAATTTTATATCTTCTGCATGAGGATTTTGACGCTCTAGACCTCGTTCACCAAAACCCTACAAAAAAATGAATCGTCAATAATATATCAAGTGTGAATCAAGATGTTACACAAACCAAAATTACTTCCAAAAAGTCTAATGAACCTTCTATATAACCCACCAATCACCCATCACCATACACACAGAAAGATAAATCTATAGATGTTACACAAATCAAAATTACTTCCACAAGTCTAATGAATCATCTACATAACCCACCAGTCATCCACCACCACACACAAATTGACGAAAACATAAAGTTTGATACTGTCACGTAATCTTCCATAAAAATGTTCAAATACTTCTCCCAAATCGAACATTTAGAGTTAGAACGCTTCAAAAGTTGATTAAACTGAATAAAACCCTAATTATAAGAGCTCCCATAAAGTTCATATTAATCAATACAAGCTGAAATAAAGTAAACAATCAAACCCTAATTATTCATTTAAACTTTCATTTCTTTTCCGTTACTCCTCTTTCTTTTGTGCTCCAATAATTACAGTGCAATCAACTCTATAAATCATCAAAAATTTCTTTTCTACAAACAAATTAAAAAAAAAATAAAAATCAAACTTCCAACTCAAAACACACAACAATCAAACCTTTTATAAAAGCAAGAAACCACCTCAAAAATCCAACAACGTTTTTCACACAGAAAAAGAAGTTTTAAAAACCTCAGAATTGGGGAATTTCAGGGATCGATCGAGAGTGCTTGACTTAAATCTTGCTCCTCTTTCTCACACGGTACACACAACAAACGAGCCAAGGTAAAGAGAAAACGACGTCGTCTTCTAGTGAGAGAAAATAGTATCAAAACGAGATGAAATGAGTGAATGAATGTTTACAGAAGTCTTTTTTTAAAATTTTATTAATTATTATTTATTGCTACTAAGGGAAGGGAATGACCTATTCTGCAAACACTCATCCAGCTGTACCGCGTAATCTCCACCGTAGATTTCTGATACGAAGAGTGGGGTCCATGTTGAAGGTCAACAATTGTTTTATAAGAAAGAAAATAAAATGTTCAACTCATGTAGCATAATGTACGACGCATCGAAGAAGGAATACTTGCGGCACGGTCTTAACTTGGTCAAATTTGACTGTTAATTGTTTTTTATATTATTAAATTAAATTCGTTATGGACAGAAATTTTCAAATACTAAACTCTGACCAGGTCGAAATTATGCAGCTAATTTTATATAGTGCTTGTTTGACACACATTCTCTAAAAATATATTCTTTCAAAATTCATTTTCGACCACATATTTTTCAATAAAATAATATTTTTTATCACATCAATAATTTTTTCTTACTTTTTAACCACATATTTTTCATCATATCACCATTTAAAATACATTATTTTCTCAATAATATCCATCAAATACACACAAAACGCCTGAATAAAAAGTGAGTAGTAGTTGTAGATTCTATAAAATGTGTACATAAAAGAAAGAAATGTTATTATGTTAACTATTTGGATCGTTGGTCAATAGTGCAAATGTCAATGAAGCTCCCGTTTGGTTGGAGTAAAAATTGGATTCTTTTTAGTAAAAATGTATGGTTGAAAGATTAATAAAAATAATGGATTCCGTGAAACATATGTGATTGAAAATGAATTTTTAGAAATGAGGGTTAAACATGGACTAAATGCGCCTCTTAAATGTACGGATGTGAGTCTTATTTAAAATGTTTAATCACTTACGTGACACTTAAATTGTCGAACATTAAGTATTTGGATACATAGCATTACTTGTAGGTAGAAAAAACAAAAATACAACTTGTACAGGGGAAAATTTACAGAAAAGTGTATAGGTGCTCACATGATAAACCGTGATTGGCTGGTTTAACTTTGTGTTTTGTCCAAAATTTAATGAAATTATGGTACCTGTAAAGCTTTCTATGTACATGTAGCATCACTATAGAAAAAATATACTTGACCAAAAGTGATCTTAAAAAACATTTACACAATTTTATCATAATTTTTCTAGTAATTATTCACCTGATTGATCACGATAATTCAATATTTTGAGCGAATTGAGCTTTGAGTCGCGATTGAAAGTTCTGTGTTTTCTATCGTAACATATATAACCACGGTGGAATGGATTTATTTGGGAAAACATATAAGTGAGGACATTTTTGGTAATTATTTGCATTTAATTTCCCTGAGGATAAATATATTTACATCACATTTAATTTAGTAGTATATGAAATGTTTATGACTTTTACTTGTTATCTCACTTATGTTCTCAATTTTTTTTTATCGCATTCGCATTCGCATTCCCATTCCCATTCCCACTTTTTCGTTAATTAGCACTTTTTATGTTTGATGATGAATCATGTAAAGAGAGATTAGAAAGATTTATGTACCCTTGCATTTTTAAATAAGAAACGAAAATCAAATATATAATTGCAACTAAATGTTGCTCGTTTTAAAGCACCCAACAAAATTTTTGAATGAAAATTGGCTCTATAGATATAAGATTTGTTAAGTAACGAATGCTAAGGATAAAATGTGATAATGAATTAAAGTAAAATATGTTCAATACAACTAAAATATGATGCATTTGTTAAAAAATGTGGTGTGAATATAAAGACTTTTCATTATTAAATTGAGAAGGTTAAAAGCGTGCGAAAATAAAAATAAAAAAATGGTTGTTTGATTTTCATTATTTTCAAAATACATTTTTCTCTCTCTTATTTTTAACAATACACCAAAAATCTTTTTTTTTTTTAATTACACATTCTCTATTAAAATACTATTTCAAAACGCATTTTCATCAAAAAAGGAGAGGCTTAAACACGCTCTTAACGTGACATTCAGCATTGTATGCATAAAGCATGTGCTGGCCTAGCATTTCGTTTTAGAGTCATGTTATATGCGTATTATCTTTGACATTATTCGTTACATTCTACCATGTAACATCATCTACATCATTAATTTTTGAATTTTGAAATTACATCAATATGCACTGTCACCCTTCACATATGGGGATGTAATGCTAAATGTACATCAAGCAAAATTCTTTGTTTTAACATAAAGATTTCAATTATCTTTTTGTTTAAAATAACATAATTATACATTAAAATTGCATTATTTTCCATAGGCCGATGGGACCTGCACTCGGACCTAGTTCGACCCTAATCCCCATATTTATAAAGTGAATACATACGATCATTTGGCAGGAAAGCTCAGAGATTAGAAAACCCAATATGAGATTTTATGAATCGGATCATGAGCTCGACCCATTACACCCCCAGGAGGGGAATGGAAAATTTTGTGAGAGAGAGAGTATGTAGGTGAAAAAAGAGTCTCACTTCGACTTTTTCCTTGTCCATTTTCTTCCATCTGTTACCAAGGTTTTATGTACTTGAAACAAAGTATCGATTTGAACACCGGAGAAGTTGCAACACATTCTTGCTAGAAGTTACTATGGCAAGAATTCTTACCTGTTATCATTAAACATATTTATCGACTAGAAAATCTCGCAACAGATTAACTTTTAAACGGGGGATATTATGCTCAAAATTTAGAACCACATCCTCGTGAGTTTGGGAAAGTGTGGTTTTATTACCGCCACAATTTTTATTTGATACACTACAGATTAATTGCAGTTAAATTCCTCAATTTTTGCTCATTATAACAGTTACTTCTTTAATTTTTTCCATCGAATTATTATCTTCAACCTTCTATTAATTAGTACGTCTCGCCATTGATGATAATTTGTATCAAAATATTTTGTTTTCCATACTTTGAAATGAGGAAATAATATTTTTTTTGCATTTTTTATTTATTTACTTTTTAAAAATATGACAGTAAAATAAGTTCATTTACGCAATTTCAACGGACTTTTGAACATAAAATTGTTATCAAATACATTAACTGGTGAAAAGTTTGATGATAAGAATGACATGAAAAATCGTTAGAAACATAAGTGTCAAAATGAACAAATATTAAGCACCTTAAGTACAATTAAAATGTAGTGTAAGAAATAAAAATTGTGGTGTGAATATAATTACTCAAAATATTCAAGGTATTATTTTGGTTGAGCAGAAGAATATTCCATATATTAGATTTTAGAGCCATGATGGGTGGAATTTTATGGTATATTAACATGTATTTTAGGTGTATTTGAATTGCAAGTAATGGGCAGGGCTGTAAGTAAAAATCGTCAAACCGGAAAATCGAATCGAAATCGCATATTAGAAATCGTCAGATTGGTGACACGTGGACCCGTCTACGAAATGATTTTGAACCAAACTCGTATTTTAAAACCAAATTGGACCGGCGAAAAAA